TTATTGTTCGGTCACACTTTACATTAGGGCTTCATTAGTTAACATTAGTTAATTCATTAGTTAACATAGACTGCCAATGAAAAATTATTCTGAACATTCATTAATTTTAGGTATTCCAATATTTAATAACACGTTGTTAAAATCGAAAGTTGCAACTGTGTTATTTAATGAGCTAACATGAACTAAGACTTGTATTTTTTAAACAAAGATGAATAACTTCTGTAGAAAATGTAGCTATTGCTCATTGTGAATGTTAATGCATTAACTAAGGTTAACTAATGAGGTCTTATTGTAAAGTGATACCTATTGGTCTTTATAGTTCTTTTGCACTTTAATGTGTAAAACTTTTAACTTTATACATTTTTCTGTATTGCTTTATTGCATTTAAATGTTGTTATTTTTGTTATACGAAAAGTTATTAAATCTGTTATACTGTATTATGACAGCACTTTTTGTTTAAACTAAATGTCAATATCGTGATAATACCGTATACCGTGATAAACGCATTAGCAATCAATCGCAACATGAAAATTTGATACCGGCATATCCCTACTCTGGTGTTTTCATCTACTGTATACAGTTTGTCAAAACATAAACAGCATCCACTCCAAAACAGAAGGCCAAACCCTAAGAGCCCAGAGCAATGTAAGGAGTCCGAACAAACACGTGGACATGACCATTACAACCACTACGCAACAGTATGTCCATCTTCAGCCCCTGAACGCCTCCTGCTACTGCATGTGGTCTGTAACCTAAAACTACTGTGCTATAAACATGACTCAAATCTAAAGTCATCACAGGAACTAATATGTGTTTCTTGACCACTCTGTTGCGTTTGCGCTCTGTGGCGCGAATTTGAACTCCGTGCGCACGGCACGTGTCATCAAAACACTCCCAACACTAATTTTTGTAATTAGTATTTACTACTAATACTAATTACTGTATATTTCACATGAAGTCTTTTGACAAGCAAGATCACAAAGCTCCCTAAACACACCCGGGACTGCATATAGGTGGAAAACCTAAGTAAAAAGGCGAGATGAAAAGGTAGTTCGGAGGGTTAAATATCAAGACAAGTCTTCGCTAGCTCAATTAAGCCTCTGCTAGCCACATTCCTCAGGAACAGTTATGCATTTCTATATTTTTTTATCACTCCTGCCCATATATTTGGTAAGTTAAGCACGTAGGGCTTCTCTAATAAACGGGCTCTGCCAAACACATGAACAGAAACTCCCCAGCAGAGTCGTTCGTGCGGTGTTTTGAGAGCTGCGTATGTGAGGAGAGTCGTTAGCCTCATTCATTCCTCTCACCTGTTCCTCCAGCCTCTGGATCTCCGCTTCATTTTCGCGCTCGTCTTCAGACGTATCCTCTTCATCTTCCTCCTCGGAATGCTCAACTCCCATCCCTTCTTCTTCCTCCTCCTCCGACTCCATCTCTCGCTCCATGCCCTCAGCCTCCTCTTCGATATCTGGCAACAACGTCTGCTCTTCGTTACCCGTCGCCGCCATGTTGAGGACTATCTGCCTGGAAACAGGCAGGGCTCGCGCACACAACACAAGAACTCGCGCGAAAAACAGGGAGCTCGTGCAGCGAAAAGGCGTGGCTCAACTACATGCATTGGCCGCTGTTAGTTTGGCATTGGTGCCTGTATTGCTTTCCAACCAAATTCTTTGTGGTGGTTTGGAAAAGTCTCATTCTTCGTCCGTTTTTGTCTAAAGCAGCGGTAATAAAATACCGTGACATTCTCAAATATAACCAGTGTTGGGGAGTAACCAGTAACATGTAACGGAATTATGTAGCCTAATTTAATTGCAAAATAAATGTAACTGTAATCTGTTACAGTTACTGAGAAAATGTGTAATTAAATTACAGTTAACGTTACTTATGAAAATGTACAAAGGGGGTTATCTGAATATATTCACTCACCTACAGATTTGACTGATTTTCTTCCAAAACTGCATTGACTTCAATGTTTCAGGAGTTTAGGACACAGAATAGGACACATGCTTAACTGTTTTATTTCCTTTTTGGGTTTATGTATATGCTTTATTTTTAAAATTAACTGTTTTTTTCCCAAGGCATTGTTAGATGCCTGTGTTTCCTGTCATAGCTCTGCAAAGATTTATTTTCGAAAACAGTACCATAAACTAAACTATCTTATGATTTTTAAATTCGCATTTAACCTCAGAACAATCTCAAAGTAAAAAGAAATACTAAAGTCTGATTTTGTGGTGGCCTGCTTTCATATTAAATGAAATAGAAATTTAAATTTAGAAAAGTTATCAAACAATAATCAAATGTAATCAGTTACATTAACTACTTTATAATAAAGTAATTGTAATAGTTACACTACTTATTACATTTTAAATAGAGTAACTTTCTGTAACATTTCCAAAGTAATAGGTTACTTTACCAAACCTTTCCCAACACTGCATATAATCTGCATGCAAAATGTGAAATATTTAATATTATTATTGTAATATAAGCAAAAGTTATATTTATACATTTTATATATTTTTTATAAGTTCACGGTGAAATCGCTTCCCCTGCTGCTTGAGTTCCACAAGTTAACGGCATGCAAACAGCAGTTATATAAAATAGGCTACAGCATGTAGAAATACACAGCTACATACAATACAAATATGAAAAGTATATTATTTATAATAAATGGTGACTAAAATGTGAGCAATGCAGTGAACGCGCTCCTCTGCTGGTTGAGATAGATATAGGCTACTATCGTTTGAGGGCTTAATGTTTGCTTGTGTAAAACAGCGGTGATAATTATAAGGCAGAAAGTATCTATACAATATAATCAGAAGGTAAAATGTATAATATTTATAGTTTAAAAAATCTCCCTCTGCCCGTTGACCTCTGTTTATGCAGTAGCGCCAGTCAGTCATCATGGCGTTAGCAGCGGCAGCCAAGCGCTGTGCATCTTCTGCACTTTTCAGTAGATCTTTGTCATAATTTACCAGAGCTCAGAACAGCATGCTCTTATCATAAAAAGGTACGCGTCACTTTTTATTCTTACTGCCGACGGTGGCACGAGAATTGATCTATGATTAAGTTGTAGTTCCTAATGTTTGAGAACAACTTTCAACGTGGTCTAAGCTAACTAAGCTAACGTTAGTTTACTGCGTATGTAAACAAACCAGCAGAACACTGTACATGGACGACGGCAGTCTGGGCAGTCTGAGTAGAAAACACGCCATCAGAAGGACTATGTATTTTTGACGGAGTTAAAATGACATTCATCCATATTTACAGTTAGTTTCATAATAATCCACTTGTGTAACTATCCCACAAACTCACCAGTGATGTCTTACAGTAACGTTACGTTATCTTAACTCTGCCACAGGTGAATAAACCTATATTTTAGTAAGTACACATACACATTTAAATAAGATGATTTACTAATAAAGATTAATAATCTCTGTTATGAAGGTCACTGTTTTCTATCAAGGGCACGTTTTCTTTTGGTGTAAACTGTTATCACAAGTCCTCTGATGAATGTCTTTGATTGTTAAATATGATCAGGATGTGGTCATGTTTTACATGTCTTACATATCATACTTTTTTTCTGAAGGTGTGGACCACTATGAGAACCCCAGAAATGTTGGTTCTCTGGACAAGAATGCCAAGAATGTAGGCACTGGCTTGGTAGGCGCACCTGCATGCGGTGATGTTATGAAACTACAGGTAAGACATTTTTGACATTTTAATTTCAGTGTATGAGTGTGTATGTGTATATATATATATATATATATATATATATGTACACACACACACACTATTTACATCTGTGACTTTTTGTTGTCAACCTGTCTGACAGATTCAGGTGGACAAGAATGGCAAGATAGTAGATGCCAGATTCAAAACATTTGGCTGTGGCTCAGCCATTGCTTCCAGCTCACTGGCCACAGAGTGGGTGAAGGGAAAATCTGTGAGTCAGTGTGACTCAGACCATTGCATGAATTCACAGTGTGATCAGATTATCTCAATGTGCTCCATATTTGTTCTCTCAAGCATTCCTACCAACATTTCAATGTTCTCTTTTCCGTGTACAGATTGATGAAGCCCTGAAAATCAAAAACACTGAGATTGCCAAAGAACTTTGTTTACCACCAGTCAAGCTTCTTTGCTCTAGTAAGTGTATCAAACTGGCTGTTTGAGATTGTAAACATGTTGATGACATAAAAAAAGCCATCAAATGCTCTGATTTCATAATCTTGTTTTTTTTTCTGGCAGTGCTTGCAGAGGATGCCATCAAGGCTGCGTTAGCAGACTACAGGCTCAAACAGAAAGACGACTAGGAGACGTTGGCGGAAGATCGAAATTAATGTCCTCATTCACAGACGAGTCACTGTCACCCACTCTCATTGTGACTCAGAACATTTTTGTAGTTTATATGCTTTCTGAGGATAAAATAAACACATTAGCCAGCGTATACCATTGCTACTCTATTCGCACTGCCTTTGCATTGCTGGTTTGAAGTGGCTTGCATTTACAGACTGTGAAGATCTTTTTGATTAAAGTTTACTCCTGTATCTCTGAATCACGCACATTAAAATAAACTCTTTATTTCCTAAAGATCTCATACTCTCGCATTAAATGTCCTCTATATCAAATACATACTACTGCAAAGTTTGTAAATGTACTCTACTACACTTTATAAAAAGGAAAGTAGGGGATTTGAAAAATGTCTATTTGTTTAGATTTTCAGAGGGATCATAGTTTTGGCATTGATTTTGTAAGCAAAAAAAGTCACACCAGGAAAAAAAACATTTGACTTTGGTGCTGTATTATTTGTTGCAAAAACTTAATAAAGCTGTAAATATTCATGTTGCATTCTCCATCATTTTGTATTATTCTCTACACAAAATATTTGCTATAATACAGGTCATGAATGTGTGCTAATGTCTTCTTGAACCTGTGGAAGCGGTGCAACTCTCAGGTTTCGTAGAAGGATGTTCTTCAGTACCGAAAGCACTGTAAGCATCAGCAGTCCTGTAAGCACACAAAGAACAGCTAGGATCGCAATGAGCGCCGGGTCACTGGACTGTAGTATTGTCCGAGGAGTGAGTTCAATGTCTCTCGTTGGGGTCATTGAACCAGTAGATGTGACAGTGGCTGATGCTCCTGGTGGCTTACCTGTTGAATTCTCCACACAACCAGCTTCCTCATCTGTGGCTAGACTGTAGGGTACTTGGGTGGATTTGGGTATAAAAGATGTCAAATTTAGAGAGAGGCAGTCTTCGTAGCTCAGTCTCTCTAAGGTGGGCTGGCCTGACCCAAAAAAGGACCTTGATATTGTGCTCTCAGGTAGTTTTGAAGATTCTCGACTTCTGAAAGAACTCGTGTTGCAAGCAGTGTCAGATCTAACCAACATAGATGCACTTATAGTCTGTTCTATATGACTTTCAACCACTTTCCCAGATTCCGTATTCACTGATGTTGATATTCTCTCAACAGGCTTAAAAAGTTTTGGACAGATGGCCATGACTGATAGAGTTAATAACAACTTCTGTGCGAGGTGCAAAGGAGCCGTACATACTAGATCCGTCGCCATCCGTAACCTGTCTGTCAGAAGCCATCGATAAAGATACAAGATGTCACATTCACAAACCCACTGGTTATTGGCTAGTTCCACTGATCGGAGTCGGGACAATCCATCAAAAGCCCGCTCGGGTATAGAGCGCAAACAGTTACTGTTAATCTTTAACACTTGTAGGTTCACCAGTGCACCCAACGAGGACAGATCTAGGGTAGATATGCAGTTCGCTGACACATCCAGGTGTATTAGAGAAGAAGGCAGGTTTGGTGGCAGACGAGACAATCTGTTCCCCTTCAGAGTCAACATCCTCAGTCTGGTCAGACCTTGCAGTGCCCCCGGCTGAATTGCTCGTATCCGGTTATCCTCCAGATCCAAGCGTGTGAGGTTCCCGAGCTGCCTCAGAGACCCAGCGGTGATGTAGGTGATCTGGTTCTCCTGAAGCTGAAGGGTCTCCAGACTTGACGGAAGCCCACGAGGAAAACGGACCAGTTGGTTGTGGCTGAGGCTCAGCTCCTGCAGGCCAGAATATGGCTGGAACACATTATCCACGTTGCAAAGCCGATTCCGGGCTACGGAGAGGACGGCGGTGCTTAGGGGGACGGAGCGAGGCAGAGTATGCAGGCCAAGAGACTCGCACAGAACCAGAGCACCAGGACTGGGACAGCAGCAGCCTTTGGGGCAGGGGGATACAACAAGGCCAGCAAGGAGAGATGAACAGAGATACAACAAGAGACAGCAGAGAAGACTAGGACGCATGGCTCACTTGAGGGAAAGGATTGAAAGGGATGGATAAAAGAAAGGGGAAAGTAGAAGTTAGTAACTGCTTTTCATTTACCCCAAATGAATCAGTTGAGCAAAATTAATTACCATGATGGACTCTGCAGCTCCTCCAGGACGTATTTCCCTTCTTGAGCTCGACTCCTAATGCGTTATCAAACGTGTGACATAGGGATGTGGTACTCACCATTCTTGCCCTGTCTCAGCTGACCCTTCGCTTTCACTTTATCTGCGTCACGTCTTTTAACCTCTCCGCTCTTTCCTCATGTCCCTTCCAGAGAACGGTCCGTGCTCACCCTGAAAATTCTGGGTAGTGGCCCATCAAACTTTAATGGCCGCCTTAAGGTTTTGAGTTACCGGTTTTGTATCTTCTTCGCAATGCAAATTAATTGGGCACTCCAGTTGCTTTTCCCATGATACAACTGCACTGGGTTAGTAGAGTAATTCTCTAATAGGAAACATGTTTAATAACCATTCTGTGCAAGGAAATGTTATTTGACCATCTGAAGAACAAAACTAGGTGAATCATCGGTAAGCTATAGAGTTACGCTAACCATAGTCAAAATCATGTTCAAGTCTGCATCTAGTCCCAAAGTGAAGTGAAAGCAGTGTGTATTTCCAGAATTATTTAGCACCTTGTGGACAAAAGAGGGGAGAATTCAACCTTGAGCTACGTTTCTTTTTCGGGGCTCAAGTTTCTGGCTTCACTGCATATCTTTGATGTCTACTCTTTGGTGACTACACGCTACCAACACTTGGCCTTGCGCCATGGCAATGGGGTTTAATTTCAGTTATGAGGCTAATTTGCATTCAGCTGGCTATTAATCAATGATAGGCTGATAACATCATTGTAACAAAAGCTGCATGTGGATAAAGAGGTGTGAGGATTGTTTTTCTGGAAAACTAACTTGCATGAAGTAATTCACCCATGATTCCACTTCTGAATCAAGTTGGATAATCTATAGTGGGTAAATCTTGGGAATTTTGAAGTTGTCCACAAAATATTTTATTACTGGCATAATGTGAAATTGATTGTCTGGTTCTATCTCAGCCAGTATATTTCCATTCAGGCCAGATATTTCCAGATCTCTGAGAGGCTATTGGAATGAGCTTCTGAAATATTGATTGGACATTGTATGGATGTGACAAAAGCTCTGTAGCTGCCGCCGTTACGCTGCACTGGGCTCTGTTGCTGGGGTTCTTGAGTTTCATATGCTTCAGCCAAGCCAGCACAATTCTTTTGAAAAAACCACACCGTTCAAGACAAACAGAGAGAACACAAGGAAGCGGTAACACTTATAGTTACAAAAATTTAAAATAAATGCCGTTTGCAATAAATGCAAAATGCATGTTGAACTTTTTATTCAAACAATCCTGAAAACAAATATATGCTGTGGTTTCCACAAAAATATTAAGTAGTACAGCTTTTTGACATTGATAAGAAATGTTTCCTGAGTGCCAAATCTGCAGAACGATTTCTGAAAGAATCTTGTAATACTGATGACTGGAGTAATGACTGGTGAACTTGTGAAATAGTTATATGTTTTTACTGTATTTTTAAACAAATAAACGCAGCCTTGGTGATCATAAAAGACTTCTTTCAAAAACAAACCATACAGACTCCAAACGTTTGAATAGTAGTGTATCTGTATCTCTGAAACAATTTGTTTATTTGGAACAGAGCAGAAGAGTTCATTTTCGGAGAGTTTATTTTTCATGAAAAAACATACCTGACAAATTGTTAGCATATTAAATCCAATACTGAGGAAAGTCATGAAGTTTAGATAAAATAACGGTCATCATGTATAACATCTGATTACAGCTTCGGAAAATACAGCATAAATTACGGGTTACCATGCATATAGACATTTCATATGTAAAATAACTCAAAGGAAAGTGGTCAGAAAAAGTTTCAAAAGATGTTTTCTTAAAGGGTTAGTTCACCCAAAAATGAAAATACTGTCATTAATTACTCACCCTCGTGTTGTTCCAAACCCGTAAGACCTTTGTTCATCTTCGGAACACAATTTAAGATATTTATGATGAAATCTGAGGGCTCTCTGTCCCTCCCATAGACAGCAAGATTACCACGTTCAAGGTCCAGAAAAGTGCCAAGATGATCGACAAAGTAGTCCGTGACATCAGTGGTTCAACTGTAAAGTTATGAAACTACGAGAATACTTTTTTGCGCAAAGAAAATAACGACTTTATTCCACATTTTCGTCTCTACACTCTACTTGTGGACGTGCTTTCACGACAGTACCATGACGCGAGCGTGTGGCGGTGCCGGCACTGACCCAGATCCGGTGTGATGTCATTATGCTGGATCTGGGTCAGTGCCGTCACACGCTCGCGTCATGGTACTGTCGTGAAAGCGCGTCCACAAGTGATGCAGTAGAGATGAAAATGTGGAATAAAGTTGTTATTTTTGTTTTCTTTGAACAAAAAAGTATTCTCATAGCTTCGTAGCTTTACAGTTGAACCACTGATGTCACACAGACTACTTTGTCGATCATCTTGGTACTTTTCTGGACCTTGAACGTGGTAGTTACCTTGCTGTCTATGGGAGGGTCAGAGAGCCCTCAGATTTCATCATAAATATCTTAAATTGTGTTCCGAAGATGAATGAAGGTCTTACGGGTTTGGAACAACACGAGGGTGAGTAATTAATGACAGAATTTTCATTTTTGGGTGAACTAACCCTTTGAGTCTCTCAAAAGTAGAAAGGGATTCACAAAATAGTTTCAAGTGTCGTTTATTTTCCACATGAATAATAAAAATGTCAACTCACTGTTTTTTTCTTATTTAGCAAACAAATTTTTAAAGAAACACAAAATGAGTTGATAAAACATTTTTTTCCACTCTTCCTCTGATGGCACATACACAAGTTGCAAAGCAACAAGAACACAAAGAGTAAGAGTGTGGGCATCATATCTACCAGTAGAAAAAGTTTGGGATCAAGGTCATTCCTGCATGTTTCAGAAAAAGCTCTCACGCTGTGGTGTGATTGGCCTTTCTGAGGTGGCACGTACAGACTAGCGGCTGACTGGAAGTGACATTTGAGGTGGTAGGCTGAGGCTCCTCTTTCTTCTTGGGCTCATCTTTCTGCATCTCCACCTCTTCAACATCCTCCAACTTTTGGACCTCTTTCGGCTTGGGCTGGGGGTCTTTTCCTTCCTTCTCACCCACCAGTGCTTTAGTGGGTTCCCGTAGGGTCTTTGCGGTTGTGGTCTTACCTTCCTGAATCTGGTTATGTGGTTTCTCCATAGCTTTACTAGGTTGGCTCATGTATTTCCTGGGTGCGTAGGTCTTTGGAGGATAGTAGGCCTCAAGCTTGCGTTTGTGGCTCATCGCTGAAGCGCAGCAGACGATGAAGATGATGACTACCAACAGAGAGGTCACGACAATGATGAGAAGCAAGTTCTCCTTCAGGAAGTCCACTGCCTGGTTGAAAAGGAAGTCTTTGATGCGGATGAAAGTGGCTGTTATGTTGGGAGGAGGCGAGGGGGATGGAGGAACATGGGTGGTACGAGCAATGGGAAAGATGAGTTCGGGTTCATCCCCGCTGCCCTCCATTGACACGTTGAATGGGGCGGGCTTGGCAAAGCAACTGCTGCCCCAGAGAGCAGTCAGGAGCAGGCAAACAAAGCACAGAGAGAGTGACATACTTCCTCTAAAAACCTGAAAGAAAATGGACACAGACGTGGCCGTTACTAGTCATTCCCAACAGAAACAGGAAGTCAGCATTTTGTTTCATGAAGGTGGTTACAGCAGTTTTTTAATACATATTTGGAAGATCATAACACTTTACGGTAACACTTTATTTTAAGGTGTCCTTGTTACACATATTACACGAACTTACTATTATAATAACAATTAATTATGCATAATTACATGCAAGTAACCCTAAGACGAACCCTAATCCTAACCATAAATATTACTCTGTACTTAAATGTATAATTACATGGTAACAACAAGGACACCTTAAAATAAAGTGTAACCCACTTTACAATAAGGTCGCGTTAGGTAACATTTGTTAATGCATCAACAAACAATGAGCAATAGCATTTGTTCAGCTGTTTGTTGTTAGTTCATCTTCGCTCAGGTCCATCAAATAATATTAAGAGCTACAACTTTTGATTTTAATATTGCAGAAGTAAATGCTGAAATTAACATTAACTAAGATTACAAAATGCTTTAGAAGCATTTTTCGTTACTTCATGTTAACTAATGTTAACAAATGGAAATTTATTTTAACTTGTTACCAAGAAGTTGTATTTTTGTAAAAATATTTTAGTTAAAATAATTATTTTTTATATTTTTTGACCAATAAAAGTACAAATAAATTATAAATAAATAAAATCAAAATTTGTCAAACAGAATGGCACCAAAATAAAATAAAAAATAAAATTGGTTTCCAGAAAGTACTATGGCATTTTTTTTTGTATTATATGTACCATGGTATTTTTTGAAATACCTTGGAGTACTAATATAAATATACCAAGGCATTATTATTTGTTTACAATAATTTTTTTTTTTTAGCTCATTTGGTGATGAATGAATTTGTATTGTATTGCAAGAGTCATAGAAGTCTTTGCATAATTTTATGTAGACCGCAATATAATTAACATTTTTCCACTTTCAATGATAGTAATTAGTTAGGGTCTACCTACTCACTCAGAGCTACTATCTGTTTTATCGGTACTATCGATTTTCTGTGAATCACAGGAAGGAAGATGCTTGCATCACACACACATCGCTGTAGACTCTCTACATAAGAGCATATTTTCATGTTTCGGTTTCCTCGCAGGAGAGAAGCTATTCCTGTTACATCCAGTCATTACTTATTTGGGGTGGAGGCAGAGGGATTCCAGGCCTGGTTTGTAATTTCCCTGCCTGGCTGATGCCACCCGCTCACCACAGAAAAGCAAAAGCAAGGCCAGATATATATTTGTGAGGGTGCAGCAAGGCGTGGGAGAGCCGCAGCTCACAGGCCTGTATTTACAGCCCAGCTGCAATGAGACAGGCCATAGAGCAGCGAGACTATTTCTGCACTGCTCAAGAACACACACATCAGATTCATATGCTTTACAAATCGTCAAGACTCTGCATTATGGGTAGACTACTTTATAAATTGTTCACGCTAGAAGTAAACCATTTTTGTATTGATTAAAGAGTATAGGATGGATATTAAGCAACTTTAACCAGTAGCAGGTTAGGTTTGAAGGAAAGTCCCCAAATGAACACTATCAGAATTGACAGTGTAAACCACATATTGACTACTATCCAATACAGTAATCTCTACAAATGCCTTTACTTCTTTAAAACCTATTTTTATAAAACATTTCCCCTTCAGCTCTGACCACATTCTCTGTTCTGCTAATCAGGCACCTTTGCACTCAATCACTTGTAAAGTTTTGTATTAGTGAAAAAAATGAGGTAATAATCTCAGCAACGTGTTGCATGAATGTTCCTTAAAATAAGAGAGCAAACACAGGAAGCATCTGCCAAATGAATCCAATTAGAATATGTGGTATCCTCTGTGCAGACCACAAAAATAAAATAAGGATACATATTTTTACAATAAAATAAGAAATGCAAAAATATGTATCCTTTGCGTAGATTGCATC